TGATAAAATGGGATTTCTCTTCGCACCAACCTGATTGCCAGAAGAATCACTGTCTCACCAAAATCTGAATCTGGACTTGAAGTTTTCCAGGGCTGTGTGGGCTCTCCTGAGGGTAAACTACCAGACTCATCACCAGGGTCGCCTGGCTTACCTTTCATGAGGCTGAGGCTGGGCTCCACTTGGCTAACTTTTTTTTGGTGTGTCTAAAGTCTTTTCCTCCACACACTTTCCAGCCCTTCTTTCACTGTGAGTTTCTTCTTCTTTCTCTTTAGTCTCTTCTTACCTGTGCTGACTCTTCTTGTTTTGGTTTTTTTTTTTTTTTTGGACTTTTTGAGACAGAGCCTCCCCCAGCTGGCCTGGATCTCACTTTGAAGACCAGACTAGCCTTGAACTCACAGAGATCACAAGTCTATCTTATTTTTGACTTCATTTTTCTTGATCAGACTTGTCAAAGATTTATGTATGTCATTTTTTCAAAGCACAAACGGTTTTGATTGTTATTATTTTAACTATCTTTTTGTAAGGTATAGTGGCTATGCCTGTAATCCTAGGCACTGAAGAGTCCGAGGCAGGATGATTGCTTGGAGTTTGAAGCCAGGCTAGGCTACATTGTGAGAATCTGTCTCAAAACAACAAAAAGTATTAAATGTCATTTTACTTTCAATTTTATTTATTTTGCTTACTTGAAAATTTTTCTTGGGACTGGAGAGATGGCTCAGCAGTTAAGAGCACTGGCTGTTCTTGCAGAGGACCCAGGTTCAGTTCCCAGCACCCACATGGTGGCTAACAACCATCTGTAACTCCAATTCCAGGGGATCCGACAGCCTCTTCTGACCTCTAAGGACATTGCACAACATGGGTGCACTCACATGCATGCAGGCGATACACTTACTTATACACATAAAATAAAAATAATAAATAAAAAAAGTTTTTCTTTCCTCTTGTTTCTTTGGGTTTCTCTGTGGCCTTTACTCCTTAGCTTCATGAGAAGTTTCATCTGTTTCAATTGTTCTTGTATTCTGATACATTTATTCAAAGCCACAAAATTCTCTTTAAATTCACTTTATTACCTTTATTGTACTTTCCTCCACCCCCCTAAGATTTAATTTTTAGGGTATTTTAAATTCACAGCAAAATTGAAAGGAAGCTAGACATTTTCTACATCCTCTGGACTCTCCACATGTACCTTCCCCATTATCCACATCCCCGTATCAGGATGGTACCTCTGTTATGACCAGAGAACTGATCATAGTATCACATCCCAGTTGCTCAGGGAGGGCTATAGCTCAGTGGTAGAACACTTGCCTAGGACATGCATGGCCCTGGGTTCTATTCCCAGCACTACACAGAATCTAGCAGACAGCGCAATATCATAGTCACCCACCAAAGTTCATGGGTGGCATTAGTGTTCACTCCTGTATGTTCTGTGTGCGTGGACAGCCATACAATAGCATGTATACATCATTATAGTATCATACAAAGAATTTGCACAGTCCTAAAGATACTGCATAGTCACCCTGTTCATTTCCCTCTTCACAGCCTGTAACTACTCGTTCTTTTATTGTCTCTGTAGTTTGCATTTTCCAGAGTGTCGTGTAGCTAGTGTGGACATTTGTAATATGCAGCCTTGGCGGGACTCACAATGGAGCAGTAGTCACAGGTGTAAGCTAGTTACCTCCTTGTCTTTTCATGACCTGATAGCTCATTTCTCTATTTTTGTTTGTTTTTATTTTATGTGTATGAGTGTTTTGCTTGCATGTGTGCAAGTGCATGTCACGCAGTGCTCGTGGAGGTCAGAAGAGGGTGTCAGATTCCCCTGGAACTGGAGTTAGGGGTAGTTGTTAGCCACCATGTGGGTGCTGGAAATTGAACCCAGGTCCTCTGCAAGAGCAGTCAGTGCTCTTAACCATTGAACAATCTCTCCAGCCCCAATTATTTCTTTGGTTTTTAAAACAAGATTTTGATATGTAGACCAGGATGGCTTTAAACTTGCAGTGATCCTCCTGCTTCTGCCTCTGCCTCCCGAGGGCTGGGATTTCAGGCATGCGCTACCATACCTGGGCTAATAGTTCATTTCTTTCAGGTACTGAATAATATCCCATTGCCTGGATGTGTGATGGTTTCTTTATGCATTCATCTACTGAAGGATGTATTAGTCAGCTTTCTGTCATTGTTATGAAGTATCTGAGATAATTAGCTTGTCAAGAGAAAAAGTTTATTTTGGCTCAAGGTTCTGAGGGTTCTGGCTCACACTTCAGTGGCTCCGCTGCTTCTGGCCTCTGGTGAGGTGGCACATTGTAATTATAGCCAGAGCATGGAGCATAAAACCACTCACCTTGCATTTTAGCCAGAATGCAGAGGAAGAGGAAGAGAGATAGCCTGGGTCCCATGATCCCTTCCAGTGGTATGCCCCCAATGCCCTAAGGAGTTCCCACAAGGCCCCACCTCCTAAAGATTCTACCACTTTCCAGGAGTGCTACCTGGAAACAAGCCTTTAATGCATGAATTCTTGAGAGACACACTCACCCAAACCATAGCAGATAGCTTGGTTGCTATTTTAGCAATTAAAAATAAAGCTTTGTTCAGCTTTCTGTGTGGACCTGGGCTTTTAGTCCCTTGGGTATAACTGCTGGGTCATATGGAAAGAATGTATCAGTTCAGTAAGAAACTATCTGATGCATTCCAGAATGGCCATCCATTTCACATTCTCAAGCAAATCAAAGAATCAAAGTTGCTGATCCCATTCTTTATTTTATTTATTTATTTATTTAT